TTGTGGTCTATTTCTGGGCTGTCTAATCTGTCCTACTAATGTGTTTGCCCTGTATCAACACCATCCTTTTTAATTACTATTGGCTTTCAAGTAGATCTAGATATCTCATAGGACAGGTCCCCCCACCTTGTTCTTCAGGATTGCCTTAGCCAGTCTTAGCCTTTTACTCTTCCATATATGTTTTAGAATTATCTTGTTGTGTTTTAGCAAAAAAGCAAAAAGTGAAACTCTGTTGGGAGTTTCATTGGAACTGGAATTGAATCTGGTTGGGGAAAATTTTTTTCTTTTCTTTATAATATTGAGTCTTCCTATCTATGAACATAGTGTATCCCTACTTATAATTGTTTCTTCAATTCAGTAAGTTCAATAAAGTTTTATAATTTTTTTCATAAAGATCTTATATATCTTTTGTTAAATTAAGATATTTCAGAAGGAATAAATAATATTTGTCTTTATTATATTATCAAACCTTTTTATCTTTAAATTGCATTTAAAATATATTGTTGGTATATACAGTAATATGCTTTATTTTTGAATATTAATATCCAGCAAAATTGAGGAACTCTCACTTTTTCTTACATTTAGTTTTTAGTTCATATTAAGGCGATGAAAGCATATAATTTAAAGAGATGGGTGGTTGTATATTTGTTATGAGAAACAGAAACAGATGATTCTCTAATGTTTATTATGAAAAACAGCTTATTCTATTTCCTTCCTGACCCAGGCCTGACCAGGCAATTCCTTCTCTCATTTTTCACTGATTATTTAAAACTTTATTTCCTTGTTTTTTTGTTTTGTTTTGTTTTGTCTTTTTACTCCCTTGTTTTTAAATAGCATGTATGTACTGTTAATTCTTAAGCTTTTGATTTAGGTATTGTTCTTTGACTCTCTGCTATGGAAGATGAGGATTTAGGTTTTTGGTTTTTGTTTTTACTCTCCTGCAACTACGCATGTATACCCCTCCCATTATCGTATTCTCCCGGTATAGTTATACATGATATTAATTACATCACTTGTATTATAATGTGTGTAAATTGTATTTACAACTGAACCAGGCGGTAACATACAATTACTTTCATTTTTTCTGCACAGTTTTTTTTTTTTTTTTAACAACTGTGTTGTATTTGTTCTTTGGTTTGCCTCTTAGTTTTGTATGTATGATCTATGTGATTATCTCCTAAAGAAACACCATACTCTCTACCAATTCAATACATCTATTCTCAAGATATTCTATTACTTTCTGAAATACTCTCATTTGAACTGTTTGCCATCTGCCTGTAGCCAACGGTCCATCTTAGGATTTTCCTTCACCTGTCTGGGGATTTCCTTGGCTGCTCTCACATTTGATCACCAGTCCCCTGTACCCCATGTCTTTTTTTTTCTATTTATTTTGGTGGAGCACATTCTCCCATAGTTTCCTGAGAACAGGAACATAAAAAGATAAATTCTCTAGGCCTTCGAGCTTCTGCAGTTTCTCTTCAATGTGTTTAGATGTGAATTTTAAGTTTTTTTTTTTTTTTAACATTTATTTATTATTGAGAGACAGAGAGACACAGAGCGTGAGCAAGGGAGGGGCCGAGAGACGGGGAGACACAGAATCTGAAGCAGGGTCCAGGCTCTGAGCTGTTAGCACAGAACCCGGCGCAGGGCTCCAACTTACAAACTGCGAGATCATGACTTGAGCTGAAGTCGGTCACTTAACCAACTGAGCCACCCAGGCGCCCCATGGATGTGAATTTAAAAAAAAACTTCTCCTGAGAGGGACTTGTACTTCCTGGATCTAATAATTCATTTTTTTAAAAATGTTTATTTATTTTTGAGAGAGGGAGAAAGAGTGCAAGCTGGGGAGGGGCGGTGAGAGAGGGAGACAGAGGATCTGGACCGGGGTCTGTGCTAACAGCAGAGAACCTGATGAGGAGCTCAAACTCATGAACTGAGAGATCATTACCTGAGCTGAAGTCAGACGCTTAACTGACTGAGCCACTCAGGCGCCCCAAGAATTTATATATTTTTTAATAAATTCTGGACAATTCTTACTCTCATCTCTTTGAATATTGCCTGTTCTCATTCTCTTTATTCTTGCCTTCTGGAACTCAGATTTGATGCATGAACCTTCTTATTTCAATATCTACATCCCTTAAATTCTTTTATATTTTCCATGTTTTTCTCTCTCTTTAGCAGTCTAGATAATTTCTTCAGATCTATATGCCCTTTTGCGATTTCTCTTTTCTAGATGTCTGTTAAATCTGCCCATTCAGGGGGTGCCGGGGTGGCTCAGTCAGTTAAGTGGCTCAGGTCATGATCTCAGGGTTCACAAGTTCAAGCCCTGCATCTGGCTCTGTGCTGACAGCTTCCAGAGTCTGCTTTGGATTCTGTGTCTCCCTCTCTCTTTCTCTCTCTGCCCCTCCCCTGCTTGCACTCTGTCTCTCTCAAAAATAAATAAACATTAAAAAATTAAAAAAAAATCTGCCCATTCAGTTTTTAATTTCAAAGGCTAAAATTTTAATTACTGTAAGTTTTATTTGGTGCTTTAAAAAATCATACAGGTCGGGGCGCCGGGGTGGCTCAGTCGGTTAGGCGGCTGACTTCAGCTCAGGTCATGATCTCGCAGTTCGTGAGTTCAAGCCCCGCATCCGGCTCTGTGCTGACAGCTCAGAGCCTGGAGCCTGCTTCAGATTCTGTGTCTCCTCCTCTCTCTCTCTGCCCTCCCCTGCTCATGCTCTGTCTCTATCTCTCAAGAATGATAAATAAACTTAAAAAAAATTAATTAAAAAATCATACAGGTCTTTTTTTTTTTTTTTATAATATGGGTTTTTTTTTCCCTGCTTATTTTATACTTTGTATGTGATAGTTTGACTCTCTGATGTTCTTGGGGTCTAATTCTGCTCATTTTCATGGAGTTCTTATAATTTTGGATTGTCAACTCATCTTCAGGACAGGGTTATCTACTGGTGTACCACATGGGCTAGGCTAAGGATATATTCTTCTGGATACATTATATTTCTTTTTTTTTAATTAAATTTAATTTTTTTAATTAAAAAAATTTATATCCAAGTTAGTTAGCATATAGTGCAACACTGATTTCAGGAATAGATTCTTTAATGCCCCTCACCCATTTAGCCCATCCCCCCTCCCACAACCCCTCCAGTAACCCTCAGTTTGTTCTGTCTATTTAAGAGTCTCTTATGTTTTGTTCCCCTCCCTGTTTTTATATTATTTTTGTTTCCCTTTCCTTATGTTCATCTGTTCTGTGTCTTAAAGTCCTCATATGAGTGAAGTCATATGATATTTGTCTTTCTTGGACCAACTAATTTCGCTTAGCATAATACCCTCTAGTTCCCATCCACGTAGTTGCAAATGGCAAGATTTCATTCTTTTTGATTGCCGAGTAATACTCCATTGTGTAGATATACCATATCTTCTTTTTCCATTCATCCATCGATGGACATTTGAGTTCTTTCCATACTTTGGCTATTGTTGATAGTACTGCTATAAACATGGGGGTGCATGTGCCCCTTCGAAACAGCACACCTGTATCCCTTGGATAAATACCTAGTAGTGCAATTGCTGGGTCCTAGGATAGTTCTATTTTTAATTTTTTGAGGAACCTCCATACTGTTTTCCAGAGTGGCTGCACCAGTGTGCATTCCCATGGAGACATTATCTTTCCATGGGCACTCAGAATAGCATTGGTCTACAACTGTTTCTGTTAATTTCACAGCTTTGGGTTACTTGGACCACATGTGTAATATCACTTTGAACCTAAAGCCCAGTGAAGGCAGGGCTACTTTTATGAATTTTCAGAGGGGATTTTTTTGGTCCTCTGTTGGACCCAGACCAAGATGACCTTATCTTCTGTGTGAGTGGGAGACTTTTTTTTTTTTTTTGATGCACCATTTCATTGGAGTCTTTTGGTGTCCCAGTTCTGTGAAGAAGCTTGTCTCCTGCTCTGGCCTGAACACCAGCACCTAAGTCCCTGGTTCGCTGAGTTTGGCTATGTCCTCTTCCATGCCCACCTCTCCACTTTGGGCCCCAGCTGCTCCTGCTCTGGTTTCTAGTTCCCTCTGTTTGGGGGCCCTGCTATTCCCTTTATTCTCTTGCAAGCCCCACCAGGCTGTGAAAAGGAAGTTGGTTATACCTGATCCAGCATTTCTGGGTGTTTTGTAGTAGGGGGTTTTCAGGCCGTGTTGGTCCATAGTATTGCCATTTGTACTTTTAAACCTAGAGATAAAGGGGTCATGGGAGTTTCAATGAGGGAAATTCCATCTGGCTGGGAGGATCTAGGGAAGATGAATGTCCAAGGATAGTGTCCTGGGAGGGGGGCACAGCAGGTGCAAAAGCACAGAGGCAGGAAGTGAGTGTGCACGCATGGAGGAAAGCACGTAGCTGTCTTTTGCTGAGAATGTCTGTGGAAGGGAAAAATGAGGTTGGAGCCGGACCCCAGAGCAGCAGGGAGCTGTTAAAGCCTCACAGCATGGAACGTGGTGATCACAAGCTTCGATTCAGGAAGTTTAAACTGGAAGCACATCCAGGATGAATGGGTGTGGGGAGCAGCAGGAGGGAGAGGGGTTTGGACTTGGAAAGGTACTCCTGGAGGCTGTGGAGATAGCCCAGGGGATGGGTTGTGAGGCCTGAATGAGGTAGTGGGGGTAGAAAGGAGGCAATCCCTGGGATAGAGCGTGCGATAGACTTGGCTGAACCAGATAAATAAATCTGGGTCAAGAGCTGGGGGTGGAGGGGGGTGGAATAGAAGAAAAGCTAGGCAAGCACATTATCTGGATCCTGGAAAATGTCAACAATGATCTGAGCTGCGTTCTGCCTTTTAACATTATTCAGATACTGCCCACAAATGCTAACACATAGTTCATCTTGCAGTATGTAAGCTAGAGATGTTTTTAGGCCACTTGATGAATAGTCGTCTTTGGATGAGAGACAGCATGTTCCAGCAGAGCTCCCGGAAGTGAGTTGGGATATGTTTGCCTTTCCTAGAACCTGCTGACATGGCTGAACATGGGACTGATGAGCCGTCCTCCAGTACAGGGAGTCCCGACGGAGAAGGTCGGGACTCTGGGGACAGATTGTTGCTGCATCAGAGGCTGGCTGTCAGAGAGCTCATTGACACCGAGACCTCCTACCTGCACATGCTCCAGCTCTGTGCCTCAGACATCAGGAGCCGCCTGCAGCAGGTACCTGGGTGGGGTTGCGCACAGCCTCCCTTTACAGGGGCAAACGTGGGTCCTGGCTTCTGAGACCGCACGTCTGTTCCCGGGGCAGGCTTGATGGAGGGGAAGGCGTGGCGGGCGTGAAGTCACCTGGATGTAAGCCCCGGTACTTCCCTTTATTGGCCATGCCACCTCCAGCAAAGCCTTTAACACATTGAAGCCTCCGTGTATTCATCTGCTGAATGGAGAGGAGTAATCGCCTCAGAGAATTAAATGAGCTAATAAAAGGGCTAATAAAATAGCCCTTTATCAGATTTAGAACAGATTGCTTAAAGTGACCTATACTATTTTTAAAAAAATGTTTATGTGTTTATTTTTGAGAGAGAGTGTGAATGCATGTGAGCAGAGGGGAGAGGGCAGAGAGAGGGGGTGGGGTGGGGTGGGGGGGAAGGTGGAGTGGCAAAGAGAATCCCAAACAGGCTCCTTGCTGTCAGTGCAGAGCCTGACAACGGGCTCGAACTCATGAACTGTGAGATCATGACCTGAGCTGAAATCAAGAGTTGGATGGTTATCTGACCGTGCCCCACCAGGCGCTCCCAAAACTGACCTATATTCTAATTGTCTCATTTAGGAGATGGTAACCTGGAGAAGTTTTCACTATGATGGGTTTTTACATCTTTTTTTCTCCTGATTTCAGAAATAATACAGGCTCTCTTTATAAGATTTTAAGAATCCCTTAGCATGTAAGCTCAGTTAGGGCAATGCCTGTTTAGTTCAATATATCCCCCAGTTCTGGACACATAAATAATAGGCTTCAGTTCATTTTTTCTTGAATGAATGAAATACTCAAGTAGGAAACGTGGAAGGTGAAAGGCCTCTCATATTTTACCCTCCGGAAATGAGGATTTTTCTCTGTAGGCATTAAACAAAAAATATAGATTGTTACGTACTCTAACAAAAATAAGAGCCTACTCTAGATGTTTTTCTACAGTTAGCTTTTCCTACTTGATTTTGCATTCAGGATAGACACACACACGCACACACACACACACACAATGTCCTGTATGTGCCTGTGCACATATATAGATGTCCTGCATTCTGTCTCACGGTGGTACCACCAGTTAATAGTGGCTGGAGTTCAGAATACATTTCAAGGTAATGGTGGGGGGGACCAAGTATATCAGAGCTCGAAGGAAGTCCAGCTCCCCACCCTTATATGACAGATGGGGAAACTGAGAGCAGAAAAATGATAGCTTCCAGCAAATCTAGGGGAAAAAAAAACCCAGTTCAGCTTTTATTCCATGCTGAGCACTCCATCCCTTCCTGTTTCCCCAGAGTGATAAGAGTACCTAATTTATACCTAATTTGTAAAATTTTTCTAAGCCTTGCAGACATTCCACTGGAGCGGTCTCCCCAAGAGTCATAGGCCCCTGATAGTGTGAATGTTCTGGACTGCTCTCCAAAGCCCATGAATAGAGCCACTCAACCCAAATCCCAGATAGTCCTATGGCTCCTTTGTTTCTTCTAGCTGCCCCAGGGAGACCTGGATGTCCTGTTCTCAAACATCGATGATGTCATTGAAGTGAACAGCAAATTTCTTCACGATCTCCAAGAGACAGCATCCAGGGAAGACGAACAAGTGCACTCAATTGGTAAGCAAAAGACAAGGCAGCTGTCAGCCTCAGATTCCCACGGAATTGTCCTCAGCATGTGGGCATTGCTGAACCGCCTCCAGAATTCCAGGGAAATGCAAATCAATGGGAGCTTCTTGTGGGGATTCCTGAAACACAGCGTGTCAGAGCTGGTGGGACTCTCAGATAATGTCCAGCCCAGTCCCATCACTTTACAGAAGAGAAGACCGGGGCCCAGAGACAGGGAGGAACTAATGGGTCAGTGGCCTGGCTGAGCTTTTCATTATTTACTAGATGCAGTTATTTACTGAGCACCTGCCGATCCCTGTGCTGTGTGCTGGCATCACAGTATCAACAAGCGAGTCCACGTTCCCACTCTGAAAGGTCTGGCAAGTTAGAGTGACGGAAGATAAACAGATAAATAAGAGAATTTTAGGTAACAATTTGTAATTTGAAGAAAAGAAACAGTTGTAGTAACTTTGGGGCATGAGAGCAGTCCTCCTGAGAAGGGGACATTTGAGCTGAGACCTGACTATTGGGAAGGAGACAGCTCTGAGATCTGGAGGGAGAGCAGAGAGAGTGGCTGTGCAAAGGCCCTGAGACAGGGATGAGCCTAGAATGTTGGGAGGATGGACGGAAAGAAGGCTGGCGTGGCTCCAGGGGAATTAGGAGAGTGTGTTAGGGGATAAGGTGGAAGAGGCAGAGAAGGACCAAATCACGTAGGGCCTTCTAGGCCATGGTAAGGAGTTTGGATTTTACTCCGAGTGTGATGAGAAACCATTGGCCAGTTTTGAGCGGGAAAGTGATATGGTCCGATTCACGCTTTTCAAAGACCTCTTTGGCCCTTGTGGACAGTGGGTTGTGAGGGGGTGGCGACAGTGGAACCATGAGACCAGCGGGAGCCTTCCTGTCGCCCAGCTGAGAGATGGTGGGAGTGTACTCATTCTGGAACGGTTAGGATGACTGTAGGGCATGAAGGAGGAGGGACAAGGGGGTATAAACCTCACACCCGTGTCCCTCATTCTCATCTGCTGCCCTGGGGTCACTTGACAAAACTTGTAGGTCAGGGGTTTTTGAGTGGAGTTGGGGGAAGGCAGAGGAGAGGAGGGGGGGGGACACCCAGCACCGTGACCACCCTAGTGGCCTTTTACATCCCCAATCTTCTACCCTTTCCTAGACATGATGGGGCTTAAAAATAACAAACATCCAATTTTTTAAAAATGTGTTTATAATTATTTTTGTAAATGTTTATTTTAGAGAGAAAGTGTGAGGGGGAAGGGGCAGAGAGAGGGTGGTGGGGACTGAGGATCCGAAGCACGGAGAGCCCAGTACGGGGCCCGAACTCACAAACTGCGAGATCATGACGTGAGCCGAAACCAAGAGTCAGATGCTTAACTGACTGAGCCACC